AGGAGAGGAGAGGAGAGGAGAGGAGAGGAGAGGAGACCTAAGTTTAGTCTGAAGCTTCCTAGCAGCAGCCTGGGCAGAAACTTGATGTCTCTGAGTGAGATGTACTTTACCCTGCTGCTAAGTTCTGCTTGGATTTTATTACATGGAGCCCTCTCTTTGAGACTCTTAAAAACAAATAAATGCATTCTTTTTGGGTTCTATGAAAACTCAGATACGGGCTGAGTACGAGGCTCACACTGGCAGCAATAGCCAAGGTTGTAGAGCTCTCAGTGACGTACTCAGGCCGCAGCTGCAGCATGCATGCGGCAGGCTCGCCACCACTGGCTCCTAGGCTTACACACTTGGAGATCTGGGTGGCTTTTGTAACCAGAGAGGCAAGCATCCAGATGTTTGCAATGACCGAACCCACGTCTTAGTCTCAGAATAGACACTTAACAAAGTAACAAACGGTATGTAAGTTCTTGTGCATGTCCACAAAGAGAAAGCCAGCCTCTGCAAGGGGGTCTGCATCACGAAGCTCAGCTTACTCATCCTAACCCCAAGTATAACCCCTGCCTCCCGCTGTTGGACCTCAAGCTGTCATCATGCTCAGCACTCTGAATAGTCTGGATTGCCAGAGGTGTTTGTTACCTAGAATATGGACCAAAACCCAGAACAACAACACAGGGATTCCTTTCCCAGATTGCCTGTGACTGAATTTCCTCGCAGCTCTTAGAACTCAGAGCCAGTGTGGGACACGAGGATGACATTGGCAAGGGCTCTGAAGGCTGTGTGGGGAGGACAGGGCCAAGCCCTTGTTTCTATCCCTCGTGGGCTTCTTTAAGGAACACAGAGACACTGCCGCTGTCTGAGCTTAGTTACCCTTCTCAGTGTTGTGAGCCACTGTGTCTCTACTGCAACTCAGAAAAACCCTCTCTTAACACACTGGACGGGATCACAGTCAGCAGCTGAATGTGCACGATAAAAGAGCAAGGTTAAGATATTTTAAATAGGGCTAGGGAAACAGCTCGGAGGTCTAAGTGCCTGTCTGGCAAGTGAGAAGACCAGGGTTCGATTCCCAGTACTGCATGCCATGCTGGCCCTGCCCTGGGCATACCGTGCTGGCCACCAAAACCAGGCATGGTAGCACGTGCCTGTAATCCCAGTGTTGGGGAGGCTGAGACAGGAGGATCACTATGAGTCCAAGCTGTGTAGCAAAATCCTGTACCAAATTAAAAAAAAAAAAAAAAAGGTATTCTGAATAGTAAGTGAAAAAATATACTTCCAGATCTACTCCTGAGCTTGAAAGGACCAGGTAGATAAATCTCTTATCAAAATAACAAAATTCACATGAGAGGCATTAAATAAAATTTACAGGAAATCCTTGCTTTGGTTTGAGCTCTTGTACGAGGATGACATTGGCAAGGGCTCTGAAGGCCTTGCCAATGCAAATCCAAACAGACCAGACCAAACTACAATGGAGTCACTTATGCTAAGTCCCATATAATCAAAATGAACTTTAAAATGAGCCAATTTTCAAAAAAATTAGATTCACAGCCATCAGAAGAGGCCAGGTTTACATAAGTGGCAATGATAAGGAAATCCTCTCTGTTTTTACTCTATACTGAATAACTTTGAAGACACCAATCCAGTTTTTATTCCTATTTCTGCTTTCTTTGGCCTTTATCTGTGAATAAAGCCAATGTCTTCCACTCAGCCTCAGTGAATTCCTGAATC